TGAAACATGCAGCTCACAGAGAGACACATTTCGCTTAAATACAATCCATTTGCAAGCGGCAGAAAGCCTTACATGCAGGGCCAGGCCATTCCAAATGGTCATAATGCAGTGACAAAGAGTGCTTTGCAAAGACTCAGCTCTGGCAGGGATATAGAAACATAGAAACAGAGCGAGTCAGAAAGGGACTCCTGGGCCATCTAGTCTGACCCCCCACCCCAGCCGGCTCAGCTCATGACATGCTTACCATGTGCATGTCCAGCCTATCCTTGAACACACTCACCGATGGGGCTTCAACCATCTCCTATGGAAGCCCATTCCATACCCTTGGGGTCCTAACCTTCAGGAAGTACTTCCTGACATCCAGATTGAACGTTGGATCCTTGAGCTTCACTCTGTTGGAACGCATCCTGCCCTCCACTGGAGGGGAAAACAGGTCTCTGCCCACTTGCCCGTGGCACCCCCTCACGTACCTATATGTCACCAACAGATCCCCTCTGAGTTTCCTCTTCTCAAGGCTGAAAAGACCCAGGTCCCTCAGCCTCTCCTCATAGGGCTTCCCCTGCAAACCGGCCACCATCTTTCTGGCCCTTCACTGCACCTATTCCAACCTGGCTATATCCTTCCTGTAATGTGGAGCCCAGAACTGAACACTGCGAGTGCACAAGAGTTTTATAGAGTGGTAGAAATACCTCTCTCAACCTAGAAGCCACACTTCTGGCTATGCAACCAAGGGTGGCGTTCACCCTCTTGACCACCGCATCACTCTGCTGACTCATGTTTAGCCTGCAGTCAACCAGCACCCCGAGGTCCCTTGCACAAGTGCTGCTCTCCAGCCACTGTCACCTAACCTGTACTTATGTCACCCATTCCTATGCCCCAAGTGCAAGACCTTGCACTTATCCACACTGGATGACATCCTGTTGTCTCCTGCCCACTTCCATAATGGTGTTGCTGTGTGTTATATGTATATATTGGAGACAAAGTCTTTGTGCTTGGACTTAACTCTGTTTTTCAAAATCTGTTGAGTTCCTGAAAAGTGAACATTCTCTGACTTGCATCGACAGAAATTTCCTCTTCTGGAGTGTTTCAGAAATATTGGAATTATTGAAATCAAGGACACTAAACCTGGGGAAATACGTTTTCCTGTGCATCCATGACACAGGTATTGGGGATGTCCCAGCCGTCCAATCTGTCTTTCTCCTGAGAAAGGCTAAGAAGTTAGAACTTCTTCGTTTTCCTTAAAGATGAGTAAGGGAAAGCAGGCTCGAGGTCTTCCAAAGTAGGTACAGGGTGCAGAAAGTGAATTTGACTTATTCTTTTCTCCTCTCATAAAGCTAGAACCTGGTCACATACATGACCAGGTGCATCCCATGTGCACAAATGTAACATGTTTGATGGGGAGATGACTTTGAAAACTGTCCACAAACGTCATTTAGTCGGAAATGCTGCAGCCAGACATGACCAAGTCACAGGGAGCGTGTGACCCCCCCCCCCCTGCAGCCCCTTCACTGGCTACTGGTCTGTTTCCCAGCACAATTCCAAGTGTTGGCTAGCGTTCTGACGGCATCACACGGCCGCCCCACCTCTCTTGCTTGAGTGAGGAAGCCAAGGACACGTGCACAATTCTCCTTCCCCCCAGCTTGTCCTCACAACAGCAACAACATTTTATTTGCTCAAAATTTTAATATTTAAATATTTTAGCTAATTTTAATCTAATTATTCTCAGTCACAGCTTCTTAATGTTCATTATGTAATTTTATTTTGCTATATTTATTTATTGATTATTATGTTGTAAGCTGTCCTGGCACATTTGAGAAGGACAGGGTAGAAATATTGTAAATAAATAAATAGATGAGCAAGGAGCCCATTACTGGCCCAAAATCACCCAGCCCAGTGAGCTTCATGGTGAGGTAGGAGCTAGAACTTGAATCTCCAGATTCCCCGTCCAGCACACTTAACCGTGATAAAAATCAGGCTTGCCTTGGGACCAGTTCACAGGGAAGACCACCGTCTCCCGTATGACGTGTGTGGTGGCAGTCCATGACAAGGCCTTCCTCTCAGCTGCTCCCAGGCTTGGACTGCGATACTGGGGAGGGCTCGGCCACCTCCCTCCTGCTGCCCACCTGCCGGCTGGCAGATATATTTGTATTCAAGAGGCCTTTGACATCTAAGCCGGCCTGTCCAGCTGGATGCCATTTTTATTCTGCAACTGTTGTATTTCTAACTGTACTTTTATTATTGTATTATTTGTTACAGCTTTAATAATTTGTTCATGCATTTCCCTATCTCTCTTAGCTACCTTGAGTACTGTTTCCTTGGTAGAAATGTGGGGTACAAATCAATTCAATCCACTGTATGCTTCTGGTCCCCATTCAAGTGCTGGTTATAACCCATACATCCTACATGGCTGAAGTCAGCAATGCCTGTCGGAGTGCCTCTCCCAGCCACCGTCCAAACACTGCTCCCAGCCCCCGGGGCCTTCCTGCCAGTTCTGGCTCTGAGGAAAGCATGGAGGTGGCAGCTAGGCGGATGGCCTTCTTTGTGCTGGCCCCCGTCTAAGGAACATTCTCCTCACTGTAGCTGAGCTGGGGCCGGATGTCATCTTTCTGGTGCCAGGTTAAGATGACCCTCTTCTCTGAGGCCTTTAAAAACTTACTTGGCCACCCACTGGCTTGAGGAGGAATATCCATCACATGTGTTCTGCATAGTCCTTCTTTGCTATTGTCTGTTTTAAACTTTTACATCTGTTTTCCTGATTTTATGAGATTCTACTGCATTTTAATTGCCTGTTGTTGTGAATTGTTGAAAACCACCCAGTTGTAGACCACTTCAGCTGTGGGGCAATATAGAAAGGAAATACAACAACAGCAGCAACAACAACAACAATAATAATAATGTAAGTCAATAAAATGGAAAGGTGGAAGATTCAGAACTGTTGAAAACACCCACTTCACCAAACAGTTAGTTAAAATGGTGGAATTCTATTCCTTGAGTTGTTGGGATAGCCGTCAAGGTAGGTGATTCTGCAATGGAGTTAGGCAAATTCATGGAAGAGAAGGCTACCAGTGAATATCAACCATGCAGGCTACACGCTACCTCCAGGACCAGTTGCTGGGGAACCAATTGGTGGTGCTCTGTCTGGGTCCTGTTTGTGAGCATCCCATGGGCATCCTTTTGGCCACTCTCTGGTCCAGAACACTGCTTCTTTTTAATGTTCTCTTTGATACCCAGTCACCACAATTCAATCGTTATTTCTTGTAGATGTGTGCTTGCACACTGGAGTCCAGTGATCCATGGTATCTCTGTGTTCTTAGATAATGATGCTTTACTAACATGATACCCAAATATGGTGCAACACACATTAAAACTTATGAAAAGTCCATAAAACAATTCAAAATAAATTTAGCTGGATCCTAACTGCTGTTGTTAGACTTCCACTGTGGAATGAGGGCTTTCCCACCCACCCCATACCCATAGTAGCCCCTGAACGCTTTGAGGATTTTGTTCTGAGGGGTTGGGAATATGTCAAGTAGACAGTGCCTTTGGATCATTCAAGGCATTATGCATGAATGTATTATTCATCTGATTTATAGCCCACCTTTTTGATTTTTCAAACAACTCAAGGAGACTTACATCATTCTCCTGCTCACCATCTTAGCTCCATAACAACAACCCTGTGATGAAGGTTAGGCTGAGAGACTGTGGCTGCCCCGAAGTCACCCAGCGAGCTCAACGGCTGAGTGGGGACTACAGTCCGGGTCTCCCTAGTCTCCAGTCCTGCACTCTGAAGTGCCCTGGCTCTCACAGCGCAAATAAGCCAATCAGATCTTAACCCAGGCAGACATGAAAAGCAGTGAATCCTTCACTTTCCTGCAAAAAAGTGGGGTTCCCAGACTGTGCAGATAGAGAATCCAGTGTCCCTCGGGCAGCTGGTGCCCCACTTTACAGAGCTGCCAGGTACTGACCATTTATTTGAAAGCATTATGGAAAGGCTGCACAGTCCAAGCTCAGTCCAAAGTTAGAGAACCTTGAGAGGGTTGAAGTTCGAATTTCCGACCAAGTTAAGCAGCTGGGTAGCGACTGAGACACAGGTCGCCAAGGCAAGATGCATCGTATTTGCATTTGCAATGTAGTTACTATTTCTAGATGTCCATCCGTTTAGATAAATGAGCACGTGCAAATTAATTTCTGCTTGGCAATGTGGAAGTGGCCACCTCAGTTGCCACAGGCAGAGTGAAGGGTCATTTCCTAGGTCATCGTTGACGCGGCAGGCAAGGCAGGCTGGCTCCATCTCCTTCGGTGGGCAGCAGGGGCACTGCTGGGTACTGAGGAGATCCAGGGCTCAGGCTCGCAGGACACATACCCCCCAGACTCACCGAGGACAAGTTTGCATGTGCTCAGTTACACAGGATCAGAAGTCTGTGTGCGGAGGGCGGGGGAGGTTTGCAGAGGGCGCTGTTTCCTAAGGTTACCCCTCTTGGCAAAAATGGGGAGATGGAGGCATTTGATTTCAGGGAGAAAAAGAAAAAACCTTAGCAGAAAGATTCCAGGGGGCATGGAGGGAGCAGGAAGTGAAGGATATGTGAGCAAAAAGCCAGCTTGTCTAAGGGGATCAAGTACAACAGCCATCCGCAGAGCCCTAGAAATAAAATAATTGGGTAAACCTTGATTCCAGCAAGTGCCCGTCAACAGAAGGATTCAGAACTCCTCCCAAAGATTTGAGGCTCCAAAAGAAAGTTTCAGGCTCAAAACCTGCTGGGTGTCTTCTACTGCACACAACAGGAAGGAAGGTGTGGAAGGGGGTGCTGCTTCTCATATCCTCAACTCCACTGTTTGATTGTTTGTTTACCTCACCTGTTTTTCCATTTTTCTTCAAACATTCATGCTGCTCAAGCTCTGAATGACTCTTTTGTTTCCTGAGGGAGAAGACTTGTTTGCACGCTTGATGCTGGTGATCTGATTAATTTCTGTCCTGCCCCCCCCCCCCCGCATTCTGTTAGCAGACGGACGATGCAGCCCAGACGGACGGCCAGCAACAGACACAATCTTCCGAAAACACAGAAAACAAGTCACAGCCGAAACGGCTGCATGTCTCAAATATACCTTTCAGATTCCGAGATCCAGATCTTAGACAAATGTTTGGGGTAAGCTTTGATGTTCTTATGACAATTATTGTTAGCATATTTGCTGTTCCATGAGAGCCTCCTTTTCAGATTCTAACCTTGCTTTTTTAGCCTCGCCGCCAGTTCCATGGACTGGTGTCAAGCCAGAGGTGCATTTTCACACTGCCTCTCCCCAGTGGCTTTTGTGCCATTTTTGTAATGTCTCCATGGGGCACGGGGGCTGCGAGATAGAACTTAACCCAAGCAGGTGTTTCTTAGCTGAAAGTCTGAGGCAAGTTAAAATCTCTTTTTAGATTTGTTTCAGGGAATGACAAATTTCAACATCTCAGAGTGAAAAAACAGCAACGCATTCTGTAGCGCTTTGAATACTAAAACAGGTATTATGCCGAAGCTTTCATGGACTCCCATCCACCTGTTCAGGCACAGGAAGTGGTTTCTAGCCAATGAAATGCATTCATTACTTTTTAGCCTGCTACAGGTGTTTGCGGTTCTTTTGGCTGCCTAAGCCCGCCATCACACAGCCTGAGGAAATTCTGCCCTTACCTGAGAGTAAACCCCATGGATATTGGTGGGGCTTTCCTCTCAGCAGACAGGAATAGCATGGTGCTATATGTCAACAGCTCCCCTGGGTATTGTTACAGGATCTCAGGGGTCTACGTTGCAAAGACCAATCCTGTTGCACGCAGGAGAGAACTGCACGATCCCCATAAACCGGCCGTAGTCTGGGCCTCTCGGAGCTTGCCCTCTGGCCAGGTGGTATCATGAAGGAACGAAGCAGGAGCAATCTCCAAATGGTTATGTTTTGGGACCAGAAGTAGTGGACATGGTACACGCAAGTCGTTTGCTTGCTTGTTTATTGCGACATTTTATCTGCCCTTTACTGACTCCTCAAGTGACTCACATCAGTAGAAGAGAGCAGAAGGGAGAATCTCCAGGCTTAAAAGCGGAAGGCGAGGGGAAGGCGAGAGCAAAGGAAGAGAAGGGCCTGAAGGAGGTGGTGAGTTGTAAATGGGAATCTAAATTCCCTTTGGGCTGAGCTGGTTTTCCCTTGTGCCTTTGCCGGTCTTCTTGCTTGAATAGCCAGGAAGTCCCTTGATGGGCAGTTGGGGCCAGAACCTTTGCTTCCCTTGCTTTGGCTGTCGCGGCCACAGGCAGCACAGCTGGAGCAGCCAGTTGCTTTTGGCAGGGGTACCTGCTCCTACTCTGACTCATAGAAGGACTTCTTTGGCCTGATGTTATCCAAAAGAAGCAACGGGCCTGGGCTCCTGAGTCTCCTCATTCATCCGCTGGTGGCAGAAGCCAGAGCATGCTTCCTTCTGCTCTCCAGTCCAAGGGCCTTGTCCATTGGAACAGGGAGGAGGCAGCACTGGAACTGCTCCTTCTCTGGCATCCGGGGAGGAGACCTGCTGAGGCAGGCCTTCACAGATGGTGAGCCAGCAAGCACCTGAAGCAGAGGGAGCAACAGGCAGAGGTGTGGGCAGGTGTGGTGACCTCCCTCACTGCTGAGTTGCCCTTATCAAGTGAGCACTGCAAACACTGGAAATGCATGACAGGCCGTCACATTGGTGTTGGCCTTCTTAGGACTATGACAATTCTGACCAATAGACTCTGGACTCAGAGGAACTGTGGTTCCTTCATGTGAATGACAGGCTGTAGAAGGCAGAGCTGGACCTGTAGATGCTTTGGACTGCCAGCCCCAGAGGCCCATGCTAACATGACTAACAGTCTGGAAGGCCGAGCACTGAAGTCCAAATCACCTTTAGAACTATTTTCTGTATGTTCAGCACCATGCCCCTTCTCCTGGTCCAAGTCCTGCGGCACCGAAGCATTGGCTGCCAATGACTCTTTCAGGAAAACAAGGATGTTTTGGCCACTGGCTTGGTTCATGACATAACCACATGGCTCTTCAAACCAGGCTGGTATTAGGACATATTCCCCTGCCCTTTGCAACCCCCCCCCCCACACACACACACCTGATGCAAAGTGGCAGGTGGGGGAAGAGGTGTTTTTTTTTTCCTTTTTTAGGGAGTGAAAACTTCCTCGCCCAAATGCCTAACTTGTCTTTGCCTAAAAACAAAAAAGTTAGCCAAGTGACATGTTCTTCTGTTTGCAGCTTGGCACTGCTGTAAGTTCCTTGAACTTGCTTTGTATCTCTACGAGATGGTTGCCTAGATGGAGCCTCTCTTGAGGTGACCTAGAGCCTGCCAACGCAGCACCGGAAGGCAGTGGGTGGCTGAAAATTCACCTTCAGTCTTGGGCCACTTCTGGCACTGCATGGTTACCTCTCCAGGCACACTTCCTGGAAGCCCATGAGAAGATGTCAGGAAGTCATGTCATCCCACTGATCTATGGAGAGGTATCAGAGATACCTTTATGGAATTGTACATAAAAGGGCAGGGTGGACCCTAAAGGGGGACCACACCTCTGGCAACCTTGTCCTTTTTTTAATGAGGTGGCAGGACAAATAGTTGCTCATACCCCTCAGTAAAAACTCCCCACGTCACTCTTGGCAGGATTTGAGCAGGACATTTCTTCTGCCTCCCACATCACAGATGAAATGGAGGTTGAAAATAAATCCTAAAAATACAATCTTACTTTTGCGACCAGAGGTGGTTGGTTTAAAATTCACGGGATTTCCATTAAAATTAAAATATAGTGTGTATTATATTATTAATAGGTGCCTTTTTCATTATTGAAGGAAACAGCTTAATTAAGCTAAAGTAGTACTCTTCATTCAAAGAAGAAACACAGTTAAATATTTTATTTTCTCCATTCCCATTGACAGCAGTACATTGGAGTGTAACTCACAAGCACAATTCTTAAAATGGCTTATGTACCCATTGGTTTAGGTTGCTCCTTGCTGGTTGGACAGCTAAGTCACAATCACATTTATAGTGAATTAAGCTTCATTGTGAATACTGGGAAGTCTTTCTAACTAAATGTGCAATAAATCAGTTCACACATCCTTCAGCAATTAATCTACTAATGACATGGCCCCTTCCAACTCTACTATTCTATGATTCTATGTGCCTGAAACATTTTGGGTTACTGTATTCTTGTCCGATCCACTTTTAGCTTTTCTTTTCGGTGTATTGTTTGTGTTTCTGATGTTGGTTTGCCAGTGTTACATGCTGCCTTGTTAATGACACATGAAATAATCAAACATGACAGTGTGAGTGATGTTTTGGAAAATACCATACTGTAAAGATGTCCCATGAAAAAAGAAAACCAGGGAATAAAGCAAACCAAGGCAGGGCACGGCAAAGTAAGGGAAGACATGAACCAAACAAACCAATGAACCTCCTTCTGACTTATATTAAATAGTACCCAACTTGAGCAGATCTGATTTGCTTAATTTAGAGTCAGTGAAGATACCTGATTCTGCACCTGAAGTATGATGCATTGCTTGAAGGAAAACAGATAAACATGATAAGCCAGGTTCTAAATCTCACTAAAGAAGGGTTAATTTCATCACTGCCTTGCCAAGCAAGAACATACTTGCAAACGTCCAAATTCTTTTGGCCAACTGTGGGTAAATATTAAAAGAAAAACAAAACCTTTTAAAGGAGGGTGTTCCTTTTTTAAAATGCCCCATAAACACTTCTTTCTGAGCAAAAATATTGCAAAAGTTGGGGATTCAGGGAAGACCAAAAGAGTTTTAAATTCATATGCTTACTTCATGCATTCCTGAGATAAGCTCTCATTCTTGAGGTGAATGTCCTACCTGTGCAATTCCCATTAATTGAAATGAGTGGAAGCATTGAGTGTTCTCATGTAGCTTCCCTCCGTCCCACTGGGGCTAATGCAAGAGGACTGTGACAGTGCCTCTTTGATCCATGAATGGCCACAGAGCTTTTCTCACCAACTGGAATTGTGGCCTCTGCTGTGAAAACGCCACACAACTTTCCGCTGTTTGTGGGAGGAATCGCTGGAAAACAGCCAGAGAATGAATGAAGGATGGCACCTAAATGCCAGGAGGCGACCATTCCGCACCAGCCACACTCTGTACAGGTCTACCTAAAGAGCTGCCTCCTGCTGTCATCCAGATCCAGAATTCCTTTGGATCATGGAGATTGCAACCCATTTATGAAGAAGCCCGTATCGTGCGTCACCCCACTGACTGGTAGGAAAAATGCACCCCCACGCATGTTAGGCATGCATGAGTGCTGCTTTAACTCCAAAGACCAGTTCCAGCCATGGCACATCATTTTAGATTCAAGCATGCTTAGGAAGAAATGGAACCAGTTGCCTTAAAAAGGGGGTTAGGATGAACCCTCTTGGCATCTAGAATCCCCTCGTGTTTGGCCCAGTCTTGAAAAGTGAGCCGGGCCTAGAGGGAGTCTGGGAATGCTCATGGGCTCCTGTTGTACAACTGGCAACCTTCACCAGCTGCCATTCCAGGCAGCCAAATGCCTTCTCCACTCATTGCTGCTGGCGGTGGTGGTACATGCAGAAATTGGACAGCAAGCAGGTGCTTTGGCTGCCGTTCCCAGTGGCCAGCCTTCTTCCCCATTTGCTGCTGCCAGCCCGTGCCAGGAACTCAGACTTTGGGCTGCTGCAATGCAGATCAGACTCTGGAAAGCCAAAACGGGGGAATCTGATGGATTTTCTGCACCAGACAGATTCCTCACACATCCCTAGACAAAGACAAATTCAGAATGCATTGGTGCAATATAAATGTAGAATGTAAACAACCCAACACAAACACTTGCATGTGCATACTCCGTGATTGCACTGATAACCCAGCTAAGCCAGGAGATGCTCTCTGGCTCAGTACAGTTGCCCTTGAGTGACACATTAACTCCTGTCCCCAGTTCAACAATACCTTTTGCCACAAATTTGGCAAAGTTCCTCTTGCTTATTGCAGAATATGTCCCTGTGTATGCAGATGCTAACAGTCATTTGTGGAGATAGGAGCACTGGGCAAAGCTGCCTCAGCCACGCAAAGAATCTTGTCCTCACAGCAAAAGCAGTACTTTTCTACAGACTGACAGGGAAGGCTGGTGCCTTGACATGGGTTCAAGAAACTATCCTGGTTCTTGGACACCAAGAACACTACACTAGAAACACAGAAACAGAGCGAGTCAGAAGGGGTCTCCCGGGCCATCTAGTCTGACCTCCGGCACCAGCCAGCTCCACTCACGACATGCCCACCATGTGCATGTCCAGCCCATCCTTGAACACTCTCACTGATGGGGGCTTCAACCACCTCCTGTGGAAGCCCATTCCATACCCTTGGGGTCCTGACTGTCAGGAAGTGCTTCCTGGCCTCGAAATGGAACCTGGGCTCCCTGAGCTTGGCTCTGTTGCAGCACATCCTGCCTCCCCTCACATACACTACTCTACCTGCTTAACTTTACTCTTGCATTTATTCTGGTATAACACATACAGCGCAGAGGCAGCTTTATCTGAAGTGGCTTGAAAACATTTTGCAGTAAGGAGCGTCATAAACACACTTGTCTGACCTGACCTGATTATAATGCTACTGCAATGTATTGCTTGTTATTTTAGTGGGTTTTTTTCTCCAGCCCAAGCCAGTTTTATTGTTCATAACTCCAGGTCATTACAATTCAACACAGAGAAAATATCCATTGCAATATTATCAAGGTAACAAAATAACATATTAAACAAGAACAAAGAAAATAACCAATAATTGGAACAAACAAATAACATTAATGGTAACAGGCCATAATACTTTACTGATTTAATTGTATTTTTAGCATTTGTATATTTCCATAAATGGTGTAAGTATACAAGTTTTTGATGTTGTGAGCCACCTGAAATTTCAAGACTGGGAATACGAATTATTTATAGGAAATAATTGTTTAATTTAGTTAATTTATATTAAATAATTGTTATTTTATTAATAACAACAATAATAACAATAATAATAAAAGAGAAAAAGAATGTGAATTCCAGGTTTTAGACAAGTTTCTTATAGCTGAACCTTTTATAATACCAACTTTTTATTACTATGTTAGATAGGTACTTTGCCAGGGTGTTATTTTTTAAGTATTCTTCTATGCAACCCCTCTAGGAGTTTTTTAAGAGGTATATAAAAAGTATTAATATACAAATAATACCTGGAATGCACACTAGCCCATTAAGGGCTCCAGATCAGATAATGGTATTTTTGAATTAGATGCATTGTGAATGCAGGAATTTTCTCTTGGTGCAGAATCCTCTTAAGCTGGGAAATCTTCATGTGGTACAAGTTTAAATGATCCTAATGATTTTTTTAAATGCTCATGTGACTTTTTTGTTTCTTTGCAGCAATTTGGTAAAATCTTAGATGTTGAAATTATTTTTAATGAGCGAGGCTCAAAGGTAAGCATTTGAATACACCTGTGGAAATGTTTAATTAGTTTAAAATATTCAATAAAAATAAGAGGAAGCAACTGCACTACTGTAATAAACCCTTCTTAACTATCCACTTTTTTTGTCAATTTTCCAAACAGCGTGAAATTCATTGGCCTAATTTTGAATCCTTTAAAGGGGAATAATTTTAACTACGATAAGCTGTCACCAGTTAAATGGGAATATTGCGTTCTGCTTTTAAATACAATCAAGTGTTGTCTACTGATTCTCTTTCCCAGCCCTGATAATTGCCTTACTGATTTTGTGAAATTAGTTCAAGCTTGCATGGGAAAAAAGATCATTAGAATAGGTATATATTCTGCTCCTGAAATGGAAACAAGAAATATAATTTAATATCCTCCAGAGTAATTACTTGATCAAGTGTGATTGTTCCTGATTATGAAAGTGCAGATTTTTCCCTGGTTAGTTAAAACTTTTGATATGCTTTTGAATTCAGTGCATCTCTGTATTCACTGAACAAGCTAAGAGGCTGGGACTGCAATATTAAATTCACACCTGCAGGTAAAGCCCGACTAATTCTGTAATATTTACTTCTGAGTCAGCAGATCCAGGTTGCACTACACCAATCTCCCCCTACCTGCTGGTCACCAGAAGTTTTTGACTACAAGGCCCATTGTTTCCAGATGGCCATGGCTTATGGGATGTGTAGTTCAAAACTTGTGGAGGGCACCAGGTTGGCAAAACCCCAATGGAACTCTCTTGAAATGTGTGCAGCATGAATATGGGGTCTTTAACAGCTGTTTCATGCATGACCTTGACATATGGTCCACCTGGTGGTCCACAGGATCAAGCTTTGGGTTAGAAACATAGAAACAGAGCGAGTCAGAAGGGGTCTCCCGGGCCATCTAGTCTGACCCCCGGCTCCAGCCGGCTCCGCTCATGACATGCAGTCACTCACAAGCCCTTACTAATGAGTACAGAGGCCTATGTGGGAGCTGAAAATGAGATCTACCCTTGAGGCCTAATGAGTCTCAGGGAAGGAGGAAACTGTCCAGGGCAGTTCCTCTGCCTTCCATTTTCCTAATCCTAGCTTGCCCTTGTCTTGCACTTTGAGAATTTTTTTAGTTTAAACTAATATACACATTTTTCAGACAGTTTTCCAAACATGATGTATTACGCCCATACTTTTTCATAATATATGCATTTTGTACCAATTCTTGATTGGAAAAATCCATTGCAGATGTCAGAGAATTGTGATTGTTGAATGATAACTGAATTCCAGTTCACCTGTTTGTACAACTGGGTAAAATGTGAACTGAACCATCTTCCCATCATCCCTCACTGTGTCAGTAGATGGGCAAGAGCACATGCCTGCCACCCATTAGGCCAGGTCCCATGTAAGCTTTGAGAGAGGAAAGGTAGACATGCTTTGGGGGCCCACAGCTGCACATTCTCATTTGGGCACCCCAAGCCCTCCCCGCTTCCTGTGGGCCCAAGCTTTTCTCCATTTTATTGGCTCCCTCATCTTCTGGTCGGAAAGCAACCCTGGCCCACCTGGGGAAATTCAGAACACAAGGGATCAGTCACCCGGAGTTTTGTGTCAATGCCCAGTACCCAAAACCAGACTCCTAAAATAGTTCTAGCCTACCTTCACACCATTAATGTAGTGAGTATTGCAGAAATGCAATGGCTTTTCCTCAAATTATGCCACTCAGCAGATGAAGACAACTCTTTCCTTTTACCCTAAAAATTGTGAATCATTCCTTTCTCCTAGTAACTTAATTTGGGGGACAAAATGTTAAAAGGATGTCATGTTACTGCAAAAGGTTGGACTGTGTTTATGGATACAGTGTGAATGTCTTGTCTGATTATTATTTTAACAATAGAAATGTCATTTTTTTCTGGCAGTAGCAACCAGGAAGTTTAAAGTGCGAGTTGACATCCATTAGAACATTTTATTTTAAAACAGTAGTAAAAGTAACTCATGGGAGGCCATCAAGAGGTTTTGACCTACAACTCCCAATCGTGCTTGATCATTGGCTCTCCTGCCTAAGGCTCATGTGAGGTGTAGGCCTAAACATCAGGAAGGTCACAAGTTGCCCACACTTAAACAAGATGGTAGGAATTGCTTAAAGTGCTACACTAATCGAGCTTGGAGTGGCACTTTCACAGGGTGTCCCAATTCTTTGAGTCAGGAAGCACATTTGGAATTCTGGGAGGGTGTTATTAGCACTCTCATAGAGTTGGATGACAAATCGTGAAATATATACCATGCGATCATAGCCAATGATGGGTCGTGGGCTCCCCCACACTAGAGACTATTAAAAAAAAACAAAAAACTGGACAGCCCTCTGAGTGGGTTGGTGGACTTGGTGTCCTGAAGAAGCAGGGGGTTGGACCCGATGGCCTTCATGGCCCCTTCCAACTCTTCTATTCTATTATTCTATTACTTTTTCCCAGAATGTAACTAGTAAAATAAACTGGCTTACCAGGCAAATTTAAGACCTCACTCTTTGGAGTTGCAAAATGCAACTAAATCCAAACACAAGCACTCATGAGCCCATATAAAGAAGGTGCTTTGCAGCATGATAGCCCTCCAGTTTTCCTTTCCTTTCCTTTCCTTTCCTTTCCTTTCCTTTCCTTTCCTTTCCCTTGGAATGGAAGAAGAAGCATCTTGGGGGCATTGACACCCATTGGGTACCTTGTAGGAAATTCCCAGAGTGATTGAACTAAAAATGCTGAATTTGTTTTGCTTAGTGGAGTCAGTGTCCCCAACTTGGAGCGCCACATGTACTTTGGTATGTGGACACACAAGTGTACTGCCACACAATCCTGACAGATATTTCCACCATTCATTTCCTGGCAGACTGCAGATCTGGGAGTGGCTCTGCTTGGTGGCCAGTTCCAGAGTTGAGCATGGCAAATCCTCAGGAATTCTGTCTGTGTTGGCTGCAAAGAAAAAGTGGGAACCCCTCTGCCCCAAAAGGGAACTAGCAGGGCAGGACAAGGGTTATGCTGCAGCAAGAAGTGTGTCAGCTTTCGTCCTTCCACGTTAGGGAGGGGGTGACACCCTCAGGCCCGGCGAAGCTGTGAGGCAAGGAGCACAAGCTGGAACAGTGGTGTATCACAAGGGCAGAGCAGTAGCCCCATGGCAGAGTGCAGGCACAAGGTGCCAGGCTCAGTCTCTGGAGCTTCAGGCAGGCCTACTGGGAAGTCCATCTCAGAGATTCACCAGCTGTCAGTGTGGACAGTGTTCATCTGGATGGGCCAACATGGCCGTAGTGGAGCCAGAGGTCACAGGGCCATTGCATCCGAATGTAGCAGCAGCTGATGCCATCTGTCACCCCCATCCCCCAGGCGCCCCTGTTCTCTCCGCACTTAGCTGCGTGAGCCAGTGTGGTGTGATGGCCCCAGTGGTGGGCTGGGGACCTGAAAGATCTGGCTCCTGGTCCCACTTGGCCATTAAGCTCACTGAGTTACCTTGAGCCAGTTACTCACTCTCATCTTAACCCATCCTGCAGGTTGTTGTTATAAGGATAACATGGAGAGGAGAAACTTGTAAGCCATCCTGGCTTTCTTGCTTGAGTATAACAGGCAGGATATACATGTAATGCACTCAGCATCCTTCACATCCTACCAGGAGCTGAACGGGGAAATGGATTTTCCCAGAAGCAATATATTGTTGTGAGCTATCCCAGTGGTAATGCAAATTATTTTGTCTTGACGGTCTGAAATGGGCAATTAAGGCCCATTACCAGAAACCTGGTCCAGGAAATGGAAATGTCTAGGTCTGGTTTGTTGATCCATAAATCAACCCAGCAGCCAGGATTTTAGTCTATTCTTAGAGTGATGGCGATGCAACCTGTTATGAGCAGCTCTCCTTCAAGGTTTGCCACTGTACTAGTACAGGTTAAGGACTGGATTTGCTAGAAAACTGCTTCCTATATACTCCTTGTTACTGAAACAATTGAGCCAACCTGACCTGGACTGTGGGTGCTTTTATCTGGATCCACCGCAAGACCTGATTTGGCCTGCTGGAGTACCCACAGCTCTTGCATTTGAGCAGAGGTGGCAGTGGCCTGTAGCTCGCCTCCCGCGCCACTCCATGTCTCAGATCCGTTCTGTTTCCAGGGTGTATTCAAGCCCAGGCATCCTAGAAGAATCAGCTTGCTAAGGATGGAAGAAAACAAGGTGAGGATGAATCCAGGTGGATTAGCGGAGGCTTTGGGGTGGAAGAAATATAGAGCAGAGCTAGGACCATCCTAGTCACTGGGCCAGTCACTAACAGGGCTTCTGAGCAACCTCATCCTCCATGTGGTTCCATCCAATGTTCTGTGAATTCCCCGATCCATTCTTATTTACATTAGCAGTGTGACAGTGCACACCAGTTGCGTACCTTTTGAAAAATGTTCTAAGTGACATCAAAGGAAGCCACACTGGACAATCCCATGCCCTTCCCCACATTGGCATCTTTGAAGCTGAGTAATACTGGAATTAGAAGCAGCCATTATCCAAGCATCATCTCTGGTGGGGCAATAATCCTCTAAGCTATGCTTCCTCACCACCCTCCCCCCCTCCAATTGATTGGGAAGGAACTGAGGACCACTCAGTACCCTCTGCTTAAGTCTCAGACAAACCTGGCTGTCTATATTTATAGCTGGACATCTCAGTCAGGCATACCTGTGCGTTGCATATCAATGAATGGCATTGTCCTTTAGATGCTGCTTTTTGTATCCAGGAATGCACACACGCACATGATGTACAATAGGGCTGGTAGCAGTGGTTTTCAACCACCGGTCCACAGGCCAGTGCCTGAAAAAGCCCCGAGCAAGAGCTGCAGAGGGGCAGCTCCAAAGAGCAGCAACCCAATTTCAGCCCGCTCTTCCCGCTTGCTCGACGCCGCTGCTGCCATCCTGGAAGAACTGAGCTGCAGGTTCCCCTGAGGACAGCCAGGGGAACTGGTCTGTGCCAGCTCTCCCCCTCCTGCTCTGACCGGCTCAGTTCCCCTG